AAATTTTGGGAGCTGGGCTAAGGGATGTATATTTTAGGAAAGCTCTCCAGGGAATTCCAATGCCCTACCATTTTTAAGAACCAGTGGTTAGGGGTAAATAAATCAAATTCTGTATTTGTGTCTAAGTGCAATAGAATATAGAAGAAAGGTGAAATCAGTAGAGACTGGAGGTGTCATGAAAAGCTTTGGAATGTAAAATCTGATTGGTTCTTGAGAACCACAGTACTTAGCTGAATAGAAAGAGAAGTGGGAATCCAGGCAGAAAGAATAGCGTAAGTCCTAACATGGAGAATGGACTTAACATGGCATGGATAGAAGGAGATTTATTCATTCATCAAGCAATTCTTTAGCATTTACCATGTCAAACACTAGCCTGAGTTCTTCACAAATATTGACTATCATAACATAACAAGACTTTAAGATACGCATTAATGTCATTCCTTACTTCATAGTACAAGCTGACTGTGGTTTCTATTGAATGATCTTTCAGGGGATTCTATAGTCAATAGAAAATTTCTAAATGTCAAGATGAATGCTTCTTTGCAAAGAATATCAAATTTGCTATCTACTACTTCGAAATTAGGTATTATTATTATTGTTATATGTGTGAAGGTTACACAAAGAGAGATGGAAGAAAACTCAAAAGGTAACAGAACAATACCATTTTATATGTCAACTGTGACTTAAATTTTGCTTAATACAATAATACGTAAAATAGGGTAGGGGATATTGTTTTGCTGTGCAGTGTTCGGAATTGAATCCAGGGCCTTGTACATGCCAGTCAAGCACTCCCCACTGAGCTACACCTCTGAAAGTAAATAAAATAGATTAATTCTAATAAAGATTCCTCTTCCTGAGAATGTGCACATGCTTCACATGCTTTATTCTATTGGTAAAGGCACGAGTATAACATCTTCTCTCAGTAAGTTGAAAGATCCTGGAATTCTGTGTGGATAAGAAGCACTCCTCACCAAGGATATTAGCTAGGAGAAAAACTATTCAAAGCTTCACATTGAATTCGATGTAATCCACTCACAGCTGAATTTCAGTCACTCAGATGTCACCAAAACTCTAAATAGCACAAGTATTTTGTAGGAGATATTTTCTATTGTTAAAGAGACGGGAGGCATATTCTTCTTATAAATGAGTTCTGAAAGTCATTTCCACCCTCTTGCATTCACCTCTGGAAATCTCTAAGCATGTTACATTGTGTTAAGAAGTCCACCATCTAGACATGTTTCATACATAACTCTCTACTTTCCAAAATACCTAACTCCTTTAGGTCCAAGTTGTTGATTGCTTTCTGAAAATAAATGTCTAATAACCATGGAGTGCTGCACTTAAATAAGTGGATATAACTTCTAAGTCTAAAATGCTGGAATGACCATCTGTGAAGGCTCATCATTCCAAGTAGAATTGTCCTTAGACTAATGTAGCCAAACACCTCTCCAACATTTTCAGAAAGAAAAAAAATTCACACAATTTTCCTGAGTAATCCATTCTCTGGGCTTTGTATGCACATGACCAATGCTATATTAAAAACTGAATGAATAAAACTGCAAGTTCTCCTCATGATAAGTTGAGACTATAAAACTGTTGAAAGCTAGTCAAGGACTTATTCTACCTGCCTAATGATATTTTGGTACGCATTACACACTTTCCTCTCAGCCCGATAGGGTGAGTCTGATTCCCAACAATTTATTATATATTTCATAAAGTTCTAAGACAGATAAATCTGGGGGTTCTCAAAGCAAAGAAATGATAAATGTTTAAGAAGGAAATGTTAATTACTCTGATTTTATCATTATACATTATTCATTGTATACAAGTATTGATATAGCTCACTGAACTCATACACACAGTTACTTTGTGTCAATTTAAAAATAAATAAAACAGTGGGGAAAATGAGATTCATCCAAACTTTCAGAAAAGCTAATTATGGAAAATAGTGCTTTTTAAAAATTTGCAGTCAGTTTATTTTCAAGAAAGAATGCTGTGAATATGAATAAAAGATGATTTGTATTGATTACGTGACCTCCATCTTCTTCTTTCCTGTGTGCTTACAAATGCATTTCTCACTCTTGCTATGCTCTGTTCTGTGTCAAAGGGGGTGCTAGAACCAAGAACTGTGTGGTCAGGGCACACAAGATCAATCAGAGATCGATGCCTTGTCTGCCAGTGCAGATTGCTTTGGTCTGATGGCTTTGGTCACACTCAGGGGGCCAGGGAGATTTAGCAGAAAGCAGCCCCAACTCAGGGATTTCTGCCCCCAACCCCACACGGTGAGGAGCACTTCTGGATCATCAAACCCTGGGGAGCTCTGGTAGAAAGAATGTTCTCAGGTGGAGGGCAGCTCCGGCTCTCCCTGCATTAGTAGGCATGCACAAACACTGAGAGGAATTCAGCCCAGCAGGGAAGGCAGCACTGGGCCCAGCCTGCAAAAAGCCTTTCCTGGTCTAACTTTAGAGAAATACAGTTGCCCCCTAAACAAAGGGAACTGCAAAAGACAAGCCTGGGGAGGCAAAACCTATGCTCTTCTCCTCAGCAAGGGAGAAATATTGATTGGTGGGGGGTTTTTTTATTATTAATATTCAATATTATTATCTAGTTTTGAGGTACCGGTGTTGTGAGGCAGGAACTTGACCACTTAAGCCACATATCTACCTTTTTGTTCTGGTTATTTTGAAGGTACAGTCTCACTTTTTGCCCAGGCCAGTCTGGAATCTTGAGTCTCCCAATGTCAGCATCCCGAGCAGTTTGAGATGACAAGCATGCCAAGCCATCGGTTGACATGAGGTCTTGCTTTTTGCCCAAATTGGTCTCAAATCACAATCTTCCTAATCTCAGCCTCTCAAAAAGCTAGGATTACAGGCATACAATGGTGCCTGGCTTTTCTTTTTCTTTTTCAAAATCATTTTTAATTGCTTTGTCATACTCTGTACCTATTTTGTGTTCTCTCTCACTATTTCTTATACCTTTATCCCATACACTTTCTCTTTAATATCTTGTTTTCATGAGGAAAACTTACAGTTTTATTCATTCAGTTTTTAATATAGCATTGGTCATGTGAGTAAAAAGCCCAGAGAATGGATTACTCAGGAAAATTGTGTCAATTTTTTTTTTCTGAAAATGTTAGAGAGGTGTTTGGCTACATTAGTCTAAGGACAATTCTACTTGGAATGATGAGTCTTCACAGATGGTCATTCCAGCATTTTAGACTTAGAAGTTATATCCACTTATTTAAGTACAGCACTCTATAGGATTATGACCCCAAGACAAGGGTGTCCAGCAAGAAGATCTCCATAAAATAAATAAATTGAATGAAATAAACATCCCAACAGATGCACAAAGCACAATGCAGAAATGAAAGACATATGAAATGGACAAACCCAAACTAGAGGATATAAATACCCTAAATATATCCTTAACAAATAATGAGAATGTGATTAAAGCAATAATAATAGTATCACAATAAACAAAAGCCAAAAACTGGATGGATTAAATCCTGAATTCTACCAAACCTTTAAAGAACACCAAGCTTCTCAAAATATTCCATAAAATACAAAGGTAAAGAATGCCACCAAACTCATTCTACAAAGCCAACGTTAATCTGGTACCAAAACCAGATAAAGGCACAACAAAAAGAAGTATAGACCAATTTCCTTAATGAAAATAGACCCCAAATTTCTCAATAAAATACTTGAAACTGAATTCAACATCACATTAAAAATGTCATACACCAAGATCAAGCTGATTTCACTCCAGAGATTCAGGAATGGTTCAACAAATGCAAATCAGTAAATGTAATACTGCCCATAAACAGAATTAGTGACAAAAATCACATGATCGTCTCAAGAGATGAAAAAAATCCAACATCTAATTTGTCTTAAATTAGGTCATAACTTTTGATATGTTATTTTAATAAAATAATTACTTGTGTCAGAGGTAACAAGTAATCAAAGACTCACTGATTTATGGAGAGTTTCTGGTTATACTCACTGCATATCAATTATACATTAATCCATGTAATTGTTAGAATGCTATGTCACTTTGAACATATAGGTATAACATATTTTTTTTCAAAAACGGTATAATATGCATTTAATTTCATTCAATAAATCAATTCCAGTTAATTTACCATCTCCCTTAGAAAACTTAAAAAAAGCAAACATAAATCATGAACAATTACTTTGGAGGATAACAAGTGCATGTGGCACCTGAGCTGTAATGTGAATGTAACACAAGAAGAAAGTAAAGTCACTGTCATTTATTGCTGTTTCTATGCTTTCCCAGTACAGTGCTATCGTTAAGTAGCCACAAAGTGCCACCTTCTGGTTTAAAACCATGCAACATCACCTTTATTTCTCCTGAAGTGCCACCTATGGGGATGTGTAAAGCAACAGCAGCAGTTACAAAATGTTGTCTGAGTAATTCTGAGAGCTCAAAACAAGGATCTGTGTACAGGCTGAATAAAAAGATGTCCAATTATGAGTGCACATTGTATAATGTTAACATCTTTAACTGGAATCTTTGTGTAAACCTTAATAGAGATGCAACTCAGAGACCTTTTCCTTTAGCGATTTAGTGAGGTGGTCTGCATTCTTGCAAATCATTTACAAAGTTGTTTGTGAGCACGAGGCATAAAATATTTCATTTTCTTATAGAAGGAGCAACAAGGGAACTGGGAAGCTAGCGGATACCCTGCCACCTCTGTTCCCAAAGCTGTACACCCCAGAATGGCAGTGGATGCCTGGCAAAAAGCCACCCTTACAATTCTTTTTTGTTGTTTAAAATACAAGGACTTTCTGACATTTCCCTCCTGGCCCATGAGCCCACCCCAATTTGGCAGGATATAAGCCCATGTCCTCTTGCTTAGTTTTCCCCTTAGAATTATTTACAGGACGCCTATAGATAAGGTACAAACTAGTATGAAATTAATAATTGTTTGCATTTCCAGACATGATCCTGTGGTTAAAGAAATTCTGAAGAATGGTTCAAAGTTAAGGTGACTCAGAAGCATTTGCATCCATAACTGCAGAAACAGGCTTCTCATTGGCAGGGGTGGAGTCTCTGACTCTGTTCTCAACAGGTGGGGGCCTTGGAAGTGGGGATCACATCCACAGTGAGTGAGGACACAGCGTCTGACTTTGCAGTAGTCCTGAGAGGGTCGGAAGGCGGGCTGCTGGTGGGTGGGAGGGAAGACAGCAGCTCCCCTGAGCTGGCTGTAGCAGAGCCCTCTGGAACCAAAGGGAATGACGGGAGGAACTCGGAAGGCATGGGGAGGTGCAATGCCAGGTAAGTTTCGGGGAGGCAAGGAAGGAAGAAGTGGCAAACCGGGGTTCATGAGCTCCGCAGGCCAACACCTAGCATGATGTGTGCGCAGGGAGGTTGAGGTTAGGGAGGTTGGGGAGATTAGGCAGTCCTGCTGCAAAGGCATCAGACTTGGTAATGTAGTAGTTGGGTTCATTGGTGGCACAGAAGTGAGGATTGATTTACTTGTGGTGGCAGCAATGGTACTGTGGGTACACCTGTACTAAGAACATTACTGACAGCTGGCGGTTGAGCTAATAGAAAGTCCAGACAGAGCCTTTTCAATTCCTCTAGTTCCTGGTGATGACAAAGCTGGGGGATTGACTGAGGACAGCCGTACCTCCGTGAATCCATCTTTAAGAGGAGTAACAAGTGTACCAGTCATTTGTCCTGGAGAGAAATTTTTTTTCCTTCTTCAAATGGGCGTGAAGGTATTTGATGCAAATACCCATATCCAATGCCACATCCTAAACTGCCTTCTCCACCCCATGCAGAATTTGGTGTGATAATCACTTCTCGACAGTTATCAGTGTCTGTGTTATACACATAAAGCTTCAGTGGCTTTGCTTCATGTGTTTCAATAAGGCTGAATAGATCTTCAGACTCATTCATGACTGTATCTGCTCCAATGATGTAATCACTGTGAGGTCTAAGGCCTGCCAGTGCTGCAGGAGAATTTGATTCTACTTCCAACACATGCCAAACATTCTCGTTTGCCCCATCGAAGCTGCAGAAGCAAATGCTCACTCCCAGCAAGCCCTGGCCGCCCTACATGTTGCTCGGTGTGACTGAGGTCTCTCGAAGCTCTAGGGTTTTGCTGCTGTAGATGAGCATTTTTATAGGTCTTTCAACATTCGCTTTCAGTAGATCCTTAAGAGTGTCATTGTCTTTTTTTAATCTCGAACCATTAATAGAAACAATGAAGTCAAAGAAAGGCTCCAGTCCAGCTCTATGTCCTGGGGAATTTTCTTGTACCCGCAGAACGTGGTAGCCTTCCGTGCTGCCGCCCGGGGTCTCGATGCTCTGCGAGGAGCCCATGGCGGCGGGCGATCAGTGTGGCCAAGCCGGGCTCTGCGCTGCTCCCCTCCCCCGTGCACCGTCCACTCAGCTCTTCGGTGTAGCACTAACTTATATGTTTTTTTAAACATCATCACAAAAATAAACTAGAAAATGCAATATGTTATATGCCAATGGTCATGGTCACATGTACATTCCACAGTAACATCTGATAATGAAATGAGAACACTGTTATAATACTTTGCAAACTATCAAAACTATCTTTCTTTTGAGACCTCAAGTGGATCAATTATATCAAGTATTTGACTAATAAGTTCCAGATTCATTAGTAAGAATTTCCACAATGAATTCATGCAAAATACCTGATTGTTTTTTCATAAAGGGACAATAAATTTTTAAAAACCCGTCTGATGATATACTTTTATGTAATCATGAGTAAATTCCAAATTCTACAGGCCAGGAAAGGACTCTAATAGGTACTGTAACTGCTTACTATAGGTATTAAGGCAACAAAGTCACTGCCCAGAGTTCAATCTTTCATAAGTTATCAAGGCTCAAAAGGAGGCAAATCTGCCAAGTGGTTTAAAAAGATAATGTTTTCACAAGTGAATCAGAAAGAGAGCACACATGTACTAACATGAGCACATTCCAACCAAGAGAAAAACATCTTGATTGAGTTCTGAGAGTTGTCCAAATGTTTTACTTCTGTCATATGAAGTACCACATTCAAGAAAACCTTTTCCATTATGCTATATTTTTCATTAAGGTTGAAAATTCCATGAAAGTACAAATATTTCTATTTTGCTCACTTATTCCACAAATACCTTGTGTCTGTCTCTAATAAGATGCCCAGCAAATGCTTGTGCATGGATAAACAACCAAATAAATAAATGAACAAGACAATCATTGTTCTAACTTAATGGCTCAGGTATTTAATGACTATATAAATTACTGATTTTTAAGAATATCATTGAAATCAGAATATAGGAATAAAAATTCAGTCCCATCACATCAGAGACAATTTGTTAAAAAGGCTCTCTCACATCTGGCATGGTTTCCCCTACCATCTAGTCTACTGAATGGGGCAGAACGACCTTATTCTGTGCAAGACAGTGTTTTTCACTTGCCAAATGTTAGGATTTATTTCTTTTTAGCATCCTCAGGATTTTACTCCTTGTATAAAGATTTTTGTATGTGACAAAAATCTTTTGTATAAAAGAGTGTAACAATTGTTATGGGTGAACTTTTTGGTTGTTTTTTTTGGGGGAGGGTTGGGGGATGTTTATAATAGAGCCCAGGAATCCTTGTGGTTTGACTATCCAAACTTTCCTGGAAATGGTCATCAGACACATCAGAAAACTGCCTTTCTTCCTGCCAGTTTCATTCCTTTCCAGGAATAAACTCAAAAGAAACCCTTGAGCAAGAGCTCCCCAGTGACATCCCCTAATGATTAAACTAATTCTCTCACACAAAAAAAGTGAAGAAATATCAGTCTCATAACCTTTAAGAGACTGAGCACATTACCAGAGTCATTAAAACTTAATAGTTATTCAAACAAGGCTAATCCTAAACTTTTGCACTTTTTCCTTCCCCTCTAATAATTACCTGCTCTCTATTTAAATGTTTAATAGAGAACTAGAACCAAACAAAGCACGTTATTTTTTCTTACAAAATTATTCTAATTAAACACTAGTGCGACAGCAGCAAAATGTATTTACAAACAAAGACCAATGACTAGGATTTCAAAGCATCTGACTGTTTAGTCTAAGCCTTTGCATGTTGTCCAACTTTCATCTGAAGCAAAAATGAAGGCTCCTGTTGGAAGTCACTGTAACAGAACAAATATCATTTGAGGCTCTGCCAGTGCTACAAACAATTACCAAGTCCACAAAGAGCTCTTCTTTCTCCTTTCTTTCCATGAAAAAGAACAAGGCAACAAGCAGGAATGCATCCAGCTGGGCTTCTTTGAGGAGAGCTCTCTGTAATCAAACTCAACAGTTGCTTCTGGGGCATCAAACACCAAGAGGCTGCTTTCTGCAGAAAATAAATAAGCAGATATCAAACATTCATGGAAGTTTTGATGAAGAAACTTTCTCGGTCTTTCCACATAGCAGACACTGAGCTACTGACATGTGTTCTACCTAGAAATAAGCACAGGACTTTTATTTTTCAGTCTGAATTCTATGTTATTAATTTGGACACTGCAATGATAAACTGACAAAGTAATGAACATTGTGTAAACCTAGTTTTTGTATCAGAAACCTCATTGATGCAAGAGCATCAAAATATTCTTGTCATTCACCACTTCATTCACACATAGCGTTTACATTCCTAAAGACATTAAGAAAAAAAGTAAGAACTAATCTGAAATTGTTTTGTGAAATAACAAGCAAAACATTTCCTTTAAAACACAGATTTATTATGCACATATTACCACAATGGAAAGAATGTCCTCAAAAAGAAGAAAGAAACAAGAACAATTTGCCTTATTCTTTCAGCTATTCATTTAAGTCTGAAGAGTTAATCAGTGAATAATAAACCTCAATGCTATGCATAAAAATACAAATGTCAATAATATTAGACACAGATGGGCACACTTACAATCAGACACTTGATATAACATGTTAAAAAGTCAAAAGTATAAAATAATCCAATGGAAAAGAAAAGCCTATTCAGAAAATGAAGAACTTAAGTATGTAGTGTCACTCAATTTATTAATTGCTGCAATGACATTGCTGTTGCTTGCCAGATTTTTGTGTCCCTCTATCATGAATGTCATCCTCACTCCCCAAACTCTGTTACCCCAGCAGATAGATCTTTAGGAAAGAAATTATTCCACATTTATCAAAAGTATAAGACCTTGAGAATGACACATTTCAGGGGAGAGTAATGTTGAAAAAGGAAAATCTCCATCCTGAACACTTTAACCTTGGTGATGTAATTGTTCCTGAAAAGTATGCTTGTGGTTTTCATCCCTAAATTCATCCATTTACCTGTCACAAGTCACTGGCAACCAGGTCTACTGATCTAATATCAAGAGAGGACAGCAATTAAGACAAGAAATCATAGCACCCATCCCAGTTACCTGCCAATGTCACATGAAAGTTCAGATGTGACCTCCAAATTCTCAGCACACCCGACTTACACAGGACATTACTTTAGTAAATGATAATTATGATTTGTAACAATGTCTATACAATTTCAAGCCACCTAATACATAAATTTATTTTTTAAATGATAAAAATAAAACCTCAAAAGCAAAGTAACTGTTGTTTGTCATTAACCACTTCAAACAAATCTTTGCTTGAGATTTGTTCAAAGACAAGCTTAAATTTATTGCTTTCCAGTCAATTAGTTGTGCCGCTTTATAAATACTAATAGTTGTAATTAACATCCAGGCTTTAAACTCAAAATAACTTAAGTCAAATTCTATTTTATATACACATGAACTATCTTAAAAAAAAAAAAAAACTTGGTCTATTTACTTCTCTAAGAGTCAGTTCTGTTACCATAATGGGATCATAGTAGCACCTACTTCAGAGGGTTCTTGGCAATGTTAAATGAGATGAGAGAGATAAAGAGTGTAATTGTGCCAAGAACATAGTAAACCTCAATGTGCACTATTTTCATTTTTCAAGAATATGATTAATATTTGCCGAGAAATACATTCTTGGATATAGGATAAATGATTGAAACTGAGACTAATTCATTGTAGTTTATATATTTCATGTTCAGAAGTTGTATAATTTCTATAATAAATTCTTTATTGAGTTTGATGTCATTTTAATAAATTTTGTTTCTTTTTTTTCAAAGGTATTTTATCCTGAAGTCTGTTATAGAAGAGTTCTTATGGCATTTATAGATAATGTTTGCTCAAAGACCAAATGTGGAATGTGGAATCACTGGGAGATAAATAAATCTTCATATTTGCTTCTTCCTATCTCATTTTCCCTTATTTATATAATTCAGGATAAATTAAAGAGACTCCTTTGTTTCATTCATAAAATATCTTTGCTAGGCCAGTATTTTGTAGCCAAATAATTCTTTATAAAATTAAAACCAAGACTTTGAATATAAAAGCTTTCAATGACAAATGCACAACTCTCAGTTTAAGTTAGAGACTGTTTTGTAAATTCTCTTATTAAGAAGGTCCAAGCAATTGCCATATGCTCACAGCAGCTGCACCATCCACAGGTGTTAAACAAAAGTTACCATTATATGTCTCACCACAAGTTACACTATGGAAACTACACCCTCACTCAAGAATGGTTTAGGTGACCCCTTCTGATTGCATGTCCTCCTTTGATACCATGCTGAATGCTATTGTACAATGTTGTATTTCTTAACTGATTCAAAGCTAACCAACATTATAGATTCAATAACTTACCTCACAGACATAGACGTGTTCAGTTTGACTCTGGGCAGGCATGATGGATATCCCTGAGATCTGAAACATGCCGATGTTTCTCAGACACTGATTGTCATTGTCAAAATAGAGCAGCTTGGCCAGCTGAATTCATGCAGCCTATGTAAAGATCTGCCTATATAGCATGTGAATGTAGATTTTCCAATTGGAAAACTCCTTAGAAATTTCAAAAGATTGAGTGGTTCGAGTCATCCCTCCAGTCACTGCCTGGTTTTATCTGGTCAGCCAATCTTCTACAGACACAAGAGTGGTCACCAATAAATCTCAGAATGTAATTATTCACAGCATTTCATAAGCACTGGCTACTCCTTTCAGATCATCAGCGCTTTGAAGCTTTGTGAGAGTCCATCTTTAATTTAGATAAAAAAGATTTTATTCTGTAGATTCTGTAATACATTCAGAAGGATGGGTGCATTTACTTCTAGAGTCATTGTTCTTCCACTCCATGGTTTTAGAGTGACATTTAAACAATAGTATTTTGAGCTTTAAAGTCAAGGGTAAGGAAGGAATTTCACTTTTAAGGTATAGCTCAGAGTATTGAGCAGTGGGCTCTGGTGTCAGAGCCAACAAAAACGAATCACTCAAACAAAATAAAAGAGCCAAAGTATGAACCCAAATCTAATCAAATAATATGTGGCTCA